TTTTTAAATATGTTACTTTACATATAGATATATATAGATATATAGATATTTTTCTTAGTACGATGTGTTTGTAAAATATAACAAAAAAAAATCCCTGTTAATGTTCAATGCTTTAGCAATACCTGTAAATTGTAGGTCATGCCAATAAAGCTATTTCAAACCCCTTACATTAGTTAAGTTACTGTTTACTAATATCCCCTGGGGAGGGGTGTGGGAAGTGAGGGACGAAAGGAAAATACAGGGATTGATTGCACAATTAATGTATATTTGGCGATCCACCTGTTTTACCATGAAAATATCATACGGCCTATGAAGCCTCGGATTCGAATTTTAAAATATCGAACCTGGCCTATTGATGGGTTATAAGGAATCCCAAGAGAGTCATAAGACAAAAAAATGGCGGCTATTTTGATGCCGTTAATAATGGATGCTATTGAGAAATCTTTTGTTAAATGGCACCAACGCTCCGACGAGAAGCCGCGATGACGTAACGTACAATCGAAGCATTCAAAGCTCAGAAAACCGTACATGAGGAGCGAAACGACGTCGGTTTTTTTGTAGGCTGTAGTGGACCCGGCGATAAAATTGGGTATATCAAGGGTGAAATTTAGCCTCCGCCGCAGGCATCTCTGTGGCTTTCTCTAGTTTCTCTAGCTATTAATGAGCCGGAGTCTGGAGTATGTCAGAGTTTATAGAGTTGCCTGCGGAGGAGGCTAGGTGAAATTGTATATCAAGCGTAAAATTGTATATCATCACAGCTGTCAAAGAAGGAAAAGACGTCACAAGAAAGAGACAAAGATAAGCCTTTGTGGCGTACCTTTGTGGCGATGAAAACTGTCTACCAAAGGAGTAAAAGTGTATCACGATACCATTTGTTATATTGGAACACAAAATATTTTGAAACAAACGGCGCGCCATATAGTACTTGCCGACTGGTGAGTGACCTCAATGCCCGGGGGGGGTACTTCGCCAGAATTTGGGTAGGGGTGTTCCGCTGGGATTCTAAAAGGGGTACCCTGTTTATGACAAAAAAAAAATTGTAGACCCTGTTTATGACAAAAGATATAATTAATTGCACTGAGTTCCCGTTTCAATTATCATGTCATCTCGCGTATTGTTTTTTTACGACCATGATAACCAGTTTCGGTCAATACGAAAGTAGAAACCCTGAATACGACAACAAACTCAGGAAGAACTTTGAACTTGAGTGAAATTGCATACCCTGTTTATGACAAGAAGCTCCAAAAACCATACCCTGTTCAGCGGATCATGCCCGTATAGTCCATATATGGGAGTACCCCCCTCCCCCCCGGGCCTCAATGCGGCAACATAATCCTGATTAGTGAAATATTACCTCGGCTCTGTAGCGCTCGAGCGTAATGTTGTCCCATTTCAGACCACGTGTCATTCCCTTGAGAATAATATTCTTTGTTTGAGTTGTATCCATATTCATGCATCTTCTCATGTGTAACCGTTAAACAAAGAAATGATACTCTAGGAAATGACACGTGATCTGAAATGGGAAAACATTACGTCAGAGCCGAGGATTAAATTGTTTTTGAAGATAACGAAATTCAACCTCTCGAGGTCACATGAGTTGCTAACATAAAAATGTCGACGATCAAAAGTACCATGTTCTTTTGGTTTTGGGGATTTATTGCCCTAGTTCATGGCTTCTCTACCTCGGTCAAAAGAGACCAGCTGAATTTTATAGTCCTTGGTGACTGGGGAGGATTGAATTTCTTTCCGTACAAAACTCCAATAGAATCGGCTGTTGCCAAGCAGATGAGCAAGACATCTGAACAACTTGGAGCACAGTTTATCGTTGCTTTGGGTACGTTTGACTCATGACCATTTTCTTTCTTCTTAGCCCACTCAAGGGTTTGTTTTGTCTTACAATCATCATTAAACAGCCAGGCCTAGCTAGTCATATTCATATATATTCACGTAAGCTTTACATGTAGTCCCTATACTTCTCGCCCGATGAGTAGCTGAGAACATTTAAGAGTAAAGAGGTAAAAACGTCTACATAGAAGCAGGGAATTGATTGGCTGCAAGTATTCCCAAGAGAGTCAAAAGACAAAAACATGGCGGCCATTGTGGTGCCGTTAACAATGGATGCTAACGAGAAATCTTTTGTTAAACGGCACCAACATGGCCGTGATGACGTAACGTGGTAATGTGAAATCGAATCAAAGGCCCTTAGGCGAACTCGTGGATACTTGTTGCACTTTTCGACTCTCTTCTTGAGTTCTAATTATTTTTTTCGATAACCGGCTCGATCTACGAGTCTCAGTCTGAAATCGAAATGTTGACGTCGTACCTAATAAGCGTTTTTGTTTACCTTTTTAAAATACATCAGAAAAAAAGGTCTAACTCATTGAAATTTTATTTCAGGCGTTAATTGTATAATTTTACTTCAACTTGCATCTTTCCTTGATTCTTTTAATATGAATTGAATAATTCGAAGATAAAACTATGTGCGAGTGTGCGCATGCACAGTGGGCCCCCACGGCGTCTACAAGTGCTAGAAACTGATCCCACATGGAACATGAGCATTTCGTTTCCTCATATAAACATCAAAGTAATCTATATGGTATAAGAGCTTTGTGCTTGTTAGTGTCGTGTAACATTCGTAATCGGATGACGTAAGACGATCGCTAAACGTTTAATTATCGATCTGCTAACATCTTAGTGAGTGAGTGAGTGAGTGAGCGAGTGACACATTTGCATATTCAGACCCCTCACAATAACTCGTTTCTACGCTTCGCGTATCCACGAGTTAAAAATGAAAGAAACTGTCCAGTTAGCCTGAATATCAGTCCTTCGGGATCAGTGGCTTGTTCTCCAAGTCATTTCTATGCTTTAGGCTTTGACAATTCGAATCGAAGAAATATATTTGCCATTCCAAAAGATGGGAATGTTACAACTTTTTGGTAATAAGTGAATCATCTTGTTCGTTTGGAGATTGGCTTTTGCTCCCATAATTGTTCTCAATAAAAACGATTAGTCGAGCTTTTTCAGTGACTGCATACAAAAGAGATGCGAAGTGGCACATTATTAGCGCAGATCAGACTTGTCACGGTTGAAAAGGTCACGCAAAACAATACCTGTGAAAACTTAACTTTTCTTATTTTCCTTGATATTCAGGAGACAATTTTTACTTTAGTGGCGTAAAGAATGTCAACGACAAAAGATTTGAGGAAACGTTTGAGAATGTTTTCTCATCAAAGTCTCTCCAGATTCCCTGGTATTTCTGTGCCGGAAACCACGATCACTATGGTAACGCTTCTGCACAAATCGCGTACAGCCAGAAATCTAACAGATGGAATTTCCCATATTATTACTATACTAAAGACTGGACCATTCCAGGTAAAGGAAACGCTATGATAGATAATGAATTGAAGTAAGGGGAAGGGTTGTCAAAAAGGTGTAGAGAATGGGAGTTAGAGCTGTGGCAGCTTTGGAGGTGTGAAGATTATAGCAAGCTTGTTGGAGGTGAGGACCATCGGATTTGGCTGCTCAACTGTATAGGTCTACTAAAAAGGCCAATTCCTCAAACAGTGTTTGCTTTTGGTTGATAGAGTTTCATAGAAACCATCATAGATATGGTGTTGGGTTTTTGAGTATATCTTCCTTCCTTGCCAATACGTTTTATCGTGTTACACTCACAAGAGGATGCTTTTCGTTGGATAGGAACGGACAAGAAACTGCAGTTGGTGATGATTGACACTGTCTTGTTATGTGGTAACACAGTTCATGATTTCCTTGGTGGAAACAATGCTCAAGGTAAGTGACAACGTAGACAACGGACGTGAATGTTAGGGCGGTGTACAGAAATATCCGAGATACTAAAGGGGGTCCCGTTTCCATGAAGGTAGGGTGTACATGATCATAACGTCATACACTAGATATCTCTCATATGATTCGCTTTCACCAAGTTTGCGCGAGAAAAAAGATATTGCAGGAACATTGCGTAGTATACCGAACAGGTAGCGACACTGACATCTATAGTATTGATAGCAATCTATTTTGTTATAGGTCCAGATTCCATCGACGATGCCGAGGTTCAGTGGTCCTGGTTAGAGAAGACATTAAAGTCATCTCAAGCTCAGTACTTGTTAGTTGGAGGGCATTTCCCAGTATGGTCCATAGCTGAACATGGCCCTACTCAATGCCTTGTGGAAAGGCTAAAGCCTTTACTGGAGAAGTACGATGTAACAGCGTACTTATCGGGGCACGACCACAATCTTCAGGTATGTACACGGGCAGAGGACACAAAGTTACGATATTAATAAATCAGTCAGAATGTTGGATGAAAGCAAGGCATTCCAACTTATAAAAATTAATCATCGTGATTGGCTGAGATCATTATGCTAATGTTTCTGCTCTTTCCTGATTGGCTCTAGATTTCACTCATCTTGATAGACTAACTTTGTATTTGTATTGCCGAAAGGAGTCCGAACATGCGCAGTAAGTGTATAGATAACTGATGCACACGCTCGTACTCTCCATTCTCTTGCAGCACATCAAGGACCCCAAGTCCAGTGTCGATTACTTTGTTAGTGGTTCTGGTGCTTATGTGGCTAACAAGACTGATCACAAGGATGACATCCCTGCATTGAGTCTACAATTCTATTGGGCCAACCCTTACAGTTATGGTGGATTTGCAACAATTCAAGCTTCACCAAGCTCCATGCTGCTTACTTTTATCGATGCCGAGGGTAGACAACTCTACACAAGAGCACTGCACTCTAGGGAGTACAAACACAACATTCACTAAAAACGTTAAAGTGACCTTGAATTCAACATTTTCTATGGTAAATTATCCATTGCCTTATCACGTCTTGACAACACTGATAGCAGAATCCTCTTCAATCTGCAAGTTTTTACTCCGTCGGGAGTGCATGATAATGATTTTACTTTTAGGCCAACAGAAGGAACTACGAAAAGTATTCTGGTAGCAATAGTATCAAGATGTGAAAATGGGAACAGAGAAGAGAGAAACCGAGAGAAACCGAGAGAAACCGGTTTTCATTTTCAAACTCAAACCATCCGGCTTTGCGCGCACAATGCTACCTAAATTTACGCTTCATTTACCAATTTTTTTCTTCCCTTATTTGGTCACCAATTTCAATATTTCGTCAAAATAGCACATCTCACAGTATATCGCTAAAATCATTAAGCAAAATATAAATAATTACAAATTTAAGTCGTTTTTATTGGGAAACTTGTATGTCAACAAAATATTATTATAATCTTGAATTATTTATCGTTAGAACATAGAAATGCCACGTTTTTACCATTAGAATTGACATCGAACGGAAATAAACGATATTTTGAATTAATAATATAATGTGTTTGTAAATCTATAAGAGTCTGTTTACAATTATGTAGCTACAGGGATTGGTTGCTCTTTTATTGCACCAGGAACGCAGTGTTCTTTTGTCATAAACAAATCTCCTTTCTCTTGGGACGTTCCTGCATCATTTTCTTCATCTTCAATCTTTTTTTCATTTTGATTTTTATCACAACTTTCATTCTTGCTACCACTCTTATTAYGATAAGCTTTATCGACCCTTTCCTCATCATCCGCATCATCCTCATTCGCATCATCCTCATCATCATCATTTGCACAGCTGCCTTCGTTACCATCATCACCATTATCAACATCATTTAATGTGGAGTCCTTCTTTTCTGCACAAGATTTGAATCTCTTCTCTCCAGTTTCCGTCATCACTTCCTTTTCTTCCGCCTCCTTCGGCTGTTCAGAGCTCCTGTCATCATTTCTACCACCTGTTGCTTGATCTACAGATGTGGCATTTGTTTCTTCTTTATCTTCAACTCTAGGTTTTTTGTTGCTTGTTTTGTGGCTCTTTTTTCTCTTTGGTGCTGGCTTTTTCTAATCATTAGAAAAGTTGTGCAAAAACAATTTAGCAACTGTCAACTGGACACGCGGTGGCAGATGCAGGGATGGACATGCGGTGCAACAGTATAGTTGCTTGCAAGATTGGGTGTCCCCGTCACACCGTGTGTACCGACTCAGGAAATCAGAACATTAGGCCTAGGGCAAACGTCGAACTTTCCATGCACCGAACTTAATTACATCAAAGAATGTCGCCTCATTATCACCTGATATCCATTGTTCTTAATGAGTTCGGTGCATGGAAAGCTCGACGTTTGCCCTAGGCCTTAGAATTTGTATGCAACGCGTCTATGACACTAACTCGTACGTACTAACGCTAAATTAGATATTTGATATTTTTCTCTTATTCTAACTAAGAAATACGATCCAAGTAACCAACCTTTGCGTGAGCTAACTCCATGTGTTTCTCAAGTGATCTCTTAAATGTTAAAAGAAAAACGTTTTAGAGCTACTTTATACTGATGATAAAATAAGATACTTGACTGGTACAATACCCTGTGAATTGTTAGACTTATTTTTTGTGAACTTCATTCACTCGTTAAGGTGACTGATTGTGCAGTCCATACTTGTTTTAAAATCGTAATATTCAAAACTAACGCATCTTAGACTTACTATAGAAAATATGTCTCTATGGACCTTCAATAAAATAATAGTCCCTTCACAATGTGGCGCCATCTTGTAAGGTTACCATCCCTCTACATCAAAGCGAGAAAAAAGAAAACCTTTCAATGAAGGGAGACTTTTTGTGACACTCTGGACAATTATGCACATGTCTCTATTATTGCGAGGTCACTTCTGTTCTCGGTTACCTTTAAAGATGGTGCATGGAACTGTGAAGGGGACTATTGCTTTCATGGGTAGTAATGCCCAAGAGAATGAAATTAGAATAGACATGACTGTCATGTTGGTCGACATAAAAAATGGAACCAATGAAAATTTTTTGTTTAATTCACCCAGCACAGCAGGACTAGTAATGTTGTGTGTAATCAAAGAATGTGTCCTTTCTTACCCTGTAAGCAAACTGTTTGTCACAGTTTTCAACATCACAAGAAAAAGACTTCATGCCTTCATGATAGCACTGGACATGTATTTTAAGGTTGTAAGCCTTTAAAGGAAAAAAAAACCATGAACATTCGCTAACAGAATCCAAAGTTTTATTCTAATTAAGGCATTGACTTATTTTGTTTTTTAATCATTCATGCTTATCTTTCATTCATCTAGCTATTCATTAACTGACTGTCTGATTCACTTGCTTGGGATGAGACCTCTTTACCTTGGATGTAATGTTTTTCCACTTCAGTCCACATGTCATTCTCTAGAGTATCATTTCTTTGTTTCATGGTTGCACATGAGAAGACATGGATACAACTCAAACCAAGAGAATGACACATGGTATGAAATGGGGAAAACATTACAGCCAAGGTAAGGCGGTCTATTTAGTTGCATAACAAACATACCTTTGTGTAAAACTTATCACATTCCTCTACTGGGCATTTAAAAACTTTTCTTTCATCATCATGAATGACGGCATGTCTTTTAAGCTGGGTAAAGCAAAAGGAAGGAACAGTCAGTGTTGTTATAGCAATGGCTATTTCTTGGCCACACATTATCATCACATTCAAATCAATCTGATTGAATTCAAACTGAAGGAGATACCAATCATAAACTACATCTTTCATGTTGCCTATGCGAAGTTACCTCATATCTTTCTTTGAACACTTTACCACACTTTAAACACTTGTAACCTTATTGGGAAAAAAACACCAGGAACGTCACTGTCACATAAAAATAATATGATCGTAGATATAAAAAACATATAACATCAATCCCCGATGAACCATCCTATGGGATGGGCTGATCAAAGTCAGGACACTGCAGCTATAACCCTTAATACTTATATTAAATCAGGTAGTGTGTTGAGTTTTGTGGAGGGAGGAAAGCCAAAGAACTGAGAAAACCCTTGAATCAAGGTCTTATCTCATGTCCTGCATTCCTGTGATATGTGACTAGACATGAATAAAGTACAAGAACAATATAAAGAAACGGAAAAAATGCAGTGATTCTAACATATCATTACTAATAAATAAATAATAAGCGATAAAATATGAATTTTAATGTTCATAATGTTTGTCACTTACCATGGCTAGTAACATGCTTATTAAGGTCATGAAACCTAGAAAAACTTTCTCCACAGTTTTCATGCGAACAAAAATAAACTTGACCTGTTAAAACAAATCGATAGCAGTTATAAATACGTGTAGCCTTGCGCATAGTGCTGAGTGATAAAGGTCCATTCAGAAAGAAATGTGAGATTTTTCCTTACCTTGCTCATGTTTCCTAATAATATGTATTTTTAACTTTTGTGCTGTAGCAAAACGTTCATCACAACCATCTCTTTCACAGCTTCCGAAGATCAAAAATATAAGTTAAAAACAAACAAACAAAAAAAAACAATTAAGAAACAAAGCGGAGCTCTTAACTATAATTAGTACAGTGATGAAGTATCAACCACATTACTTATCTGGTTATCCATTACCTGTATGGCAGTTTATTTTCATGAGCACATTCATGCTTTCGTAGCTGAGTTCCTTTACTAAATGTCTTGCAACATCCTTCAAATTTACACTGTTCATAAACAGATGAACAAGAACGCAAGTGAATTTCACTTTACCATAAATATTATACAAAATATGCATGACATACAACAAATTATTCCATAAAACATTTCACATACTATAGATCTATTTATAGTACACTCAACAAAATTACGCAACTCTGATTGGTCGAGAGGAGTACAATTGTAGCATTTATTATTTCACTATTAATTCGAATTAAGTCGATATGGCAACACGGCAAAAACAATGTCAAAACAATTATGTTCTATCATTTTGTACTTAAAAAACATATAAATAAAATTTTAAAGCCGTAAGAACTAATCTTTTTTATGCATTTCAGTTGTGCGACTGACTGAAAATTGGACTGAACGGCGTCGCTTCGCATCTTTTACTGAAATTTTGTTGAGTGAACTATAAACAAAAAATCACACGATCTTTTCATACAATTTGGAATTCTCGTGCAATTACAAGAACTTTCAAAACATTACTCGTGTCTATTAATTTCCAAATTGCACTAGAGATCATGCTATTTCCTATACTTATCAATGGCAGAAATATATAATATCCTTTATTCATTAAAAAATATATTTAACCACATTGTTGGATACCTTAAATGGTTTATCATGAGCTCTTTTCTCATGTCTTTTTAAGTTATGCTTGATAGAAAATGCCAAGGAACATCCAGGATATGAACACCTAACAAGACAAGAATATAATGCAAAAAAATATCAATAGTTACCAAGCTAGAATACAAAAAAATAAAAATCCCTAACTCTGGCCCCACACCCTTTAAGAATCATTATATCAAAGAGCTCATGGGGGGTGGGGGTGGGGTCAGGTCCCCATCCTGCAGCTTGTCCTAAGCCTAAAATATAAGTTTTATTAGAGCTTACTTGAATGGTTTTTCTTCTGAGTGAGATGTCAGTTGATGTCTTTTGAGGTGGTATGGTCTTACAAATGTCTTGTTACAACCTTCATGATTACACTGGAATGGGCGCTAAAATGCACAATACAATAGCCATTATTAAAGACAAAGATTTTCTAAGTATCAATCTATGAGCTGGTAAATAAATACATAGGTAACCACTAGTATCTATCATGATTTGTACATGAAGTTATTAAACTCTTAATAATTCATGAGGAAAACACAACAGAAATCACGACCGTGAAGAGTTTTGTAAATCAGATACAGAATCCTGTTCATTTGCATAAACTTTAAGATGGATTTTCTTGGCCAGATTCACTTTTATCTTTAAAATTTTAGCAAAACACAAAATAACTAACCTAGACGTTTGATAAGTAATCTACAGTATTCGTGTCCGTGTTGTATCTGATATACAAATGTATATCGGATACAACACAGCCACTCATACTGTTTATATTACTTAAACATTATTTAAACAGAAACAATGTGCCTGACATATATATCAACAGGTTGATAATGCCTCTAATACATTTGCAAACTGCACTGTCAAGGCTAAACATATTGGCTGTGTTGAACTGTCCAGCCAATATTGGCACCTGTCTTGCCAAACGGTCTTGTGCTGTTGACCATTGCCTACGTAACCTTTGAGAAGAGGGGAAGGGAAGATGAAGAATAGGAGGACCTCCCCAGTCCCACTTCCATTCCTCCTCCCCTCCTGAAAGTGCCACTATGCAGGCTATGTTGACCAGTATCATTCACATTGACTAGTCTTCATGTCTGGCCATACTGTGCTTTTTTTTTTTGCTATCGATGGTTTTCACAGCCGCCGAGTTCAACACAAAATATTTGAAAATGTATGATAACAAAACACTTTGGGTTCCCCAACAGACCMTTTTTTAATCAAAAAATATTAACCTTTTATTTCTATTCCCCGGAGTAGTCAATCGATAAAAATCGATATCGATTTTGCCGATCGATAAATCAATAACAATCGATACCGCTGATTTGATTGATATCGATTGTATCTATCAATCATTAAAAATTGAACTCACACTAAATTTTTGTATCGATTTTTATCGATTGATTGATTATATACATATCAATTTTTTTCGATTTATGTCTTGAACAATTTCTATCGATGATCGTACGAGGGCGGTGTGGCTACGGATTGACACCACCGACAATTACTCTTTCGTAACCATGGCTTGACACAAACTAGGAGTTTGTTATAGTAGAAGATAATATAGGTAAGTTGTAGTGCTTGGGAACGAGGTTAATCCAGGGGAAAGCCCTTGGAATTAAATTCGGAAAAATTAATTTCCGACCTCGCTGGGATTCGAACCCACGACCTTCGGAATTGTACTACCGATGCTCTACCAGCTGAGCTAGAGGTCAGACTGAGAGCAGGCCGGGGTGAAATAGATGTTAGGTCGCGGTAATTATGATGCAAAGATGAGAGTATGTGGACCGCGTAGCACTAATGAAATAGTAGAAGATAATATAGGTAAGTTGTAGTGCTTGGGAACGAGGTTA